GTCCTGTGGACTGGCAAGCAAAACATTCAAAATTCTTTTAAAAATTGGTTCTTCCTACACTCTGAAAAAAAAAAAGACTATGAGGGAATATCTGGCTGGTTATTGACACTTGTTATTAGTTGAAAAGTGAGAATACATACATCTAAGAGGAAATGCATTTCCTCTTAGATATTCCACAATCAACTGTAGGCTGTAATATTGCAAAATGGAAGTGTTTAGGAACCACAGCACTTGGCCACAAAAAGGCACACCACATAAAATGTTACAGAGCAGGTCGCCAAGTACAAATAGTGCATCAAAGTCCAAAACACTGATGAGTGAATAAGTTAGAACCTCCTCTGGTATTAACATCAGCATAAACACGGTGTGCAAGAGTTTCATGGCGTGGGTTTCCATGGATAAGTAGCTCCTGTAGGTATAATGTATAGATGGTGTAATATGTGTGTCCACACAGTATATATTTAGGATATTGGACCATACTGTGTATGTTTCGGAGCAACATGCTGGTCCACCCAGGTCATGCTTTTTAAAGGGAAAGCCTGGCATACAGGACTGTGCAACCCCTCATCTCTTTATATTTTTTCTTGGAAAACTGGAAAGGGTGAAGTTATTTACTGAAACATGGGCAAACATGCATGGAAAACAGGATATGAGGTAAAACCATTGAAATGAGCTTGAAAGTCAGTATTTGGCATGACCACCTTTATAAACTCTGTGACAAGCTTTCTTGTAATTTCTTTAAGTAGTCTTCTGGAATAGTTCTCCAGGCTTCTTGAAGGACATTTAAAGCATCTTTGGATGTTGGCTGCCTTTTGCTCTGTTCTCTGTCAAGATGATCCCCACACCCTCCTCCCCCCGCCCCTATCTCCCTTCCCAGTTTCTTAAAAACATGACTTTCAGATACTGTTCATCTGCTGCAGATAGTTATGCTAGTTAGGCTAACGTTTAGCAAAGAAAGAGAAATTGCTCAGATCTGGACTGAAGTGAAAGTGATTGAAAAAGCAGCCACTGTCCACAGAAAACCTTTGAAATGGAAAACGATCGCACAGGACCACACTCAGATATTAGAAGAAAGTTTGGCTCCTTGGAAGCAAAACATAAAGAAATGAGGGGTGGTTCAAAACTTTTGCACATTACTACATTTCAGCAAGAAACTGCCAATTCAAATCATCCAGGTATTAAACATTACGGTTCATAGCAAACAAGCCTGGATGCAAACTGGCCCACCTGCGGTCCAGACTTGTTGCCAACTGAAAATATGTGGGACATTATGGAACAAAAATATGACAGAGGAGCTCGAAAAATGCTGAACAGAAGTCCTACATCAAGCCTGAAAGGCTTTTCTGCATAAATAACTATATATTAGTGTCCTCAGTCTTCAAATACCCAATACTGCCAAAAGAAGAGATGATGTAACGCAGAAGTAAACATGCCCCTACCTGACTTGGAACTTTCTGCTAGCTTCAAATTAAAAATATTGAAGACATGTCTAAGTTTCAACATTTGCTGTGTGCTCTTTGTACAGCTTTAGTAAACTAAATGATTTCAGTGATTTGAAAATAATTAAAATAATTTAACTTTGCAGATTTTCCCCAACTTTTCTGGAGACAGGGTTGCAGCCCATAAATCTTATATAACAAAACTCACGAGTCTGTTTATACAATGAGTGGGTTTTTATTTTAATGTGCATGTAATTAAAAGTGTCTTTTTATTGGTGTGACAGACATTTTTTAATAAGTGAAATTAAAAAGGAAAATGTCCATGACAGCTGGGAAAACCATACTACGGGAAGACCACAAGCGCACCAGAGCAGCTACCACTGCACCTCATAGTGGGATTGTTTTTTTTTTTTAAATAATCAGTTTTGTTTGCTAAAAATGGAAGATTTCCTTGTTAATTATTAACAAACAAACACACACAGCTGCACAAACTATAGTTCCTCATAATAAAATACCAATGTCTATTGCAAGCAACAAGCAAAAAGTGCTAAACATGGTCGAATTCTTGATTTCCAGAGTTCACAAACACATCGTGCACATTTAACAGTAGCACTGTTGTGCTAGCAGCATGACACATGTAACCCTGCTTGTGTGATAAAGCTTGGTACTACCACAGTGGTCTTACTCAGACAAACTGACCTTGCATGACCATTGCTGTTGCCATCACTGTTTGTTTTTCCTTGATAAGGTGTTCAGGAATGTAAGGCAGCAGCCAGAATGAAACCTCGGAGGCAACGTGCATTCGCAGAGCTCACATAAAAATCAACAGAGATCGAACTTAGTGTTTACACAGCACCAGCTTCTGACTTCACACATAATAAAAATACTGCAGAAATGCAGATTTCTGCAGTTTTGCTTGAGGAAAACTTAAATATTAAATCAGCCATGATCAGATAGTCCAACCTGCAGGCAGGTGGAGTTCACATTTGCATACTCGAGCATCCTCTTTCCAGAGCATAATAGAGCTGGGCACTAGCCAAACAGGCAGAGCGGTATAAAAAATTAATTGTGACCAAATGCCTTTCAGTCACAGCTCATTTCAGTCAAAAAACACAATGCCAGAGTATGGCTAGACCTCTTTGCTTCCTCATGGCGGAGGAAATGTGAAAATTAATGAATCACAACATCAAATCCAGCCTTCTTGTTGATGCAGTTATCCAAAGACCTTTAACAAAGCGGAACCAAAAAAAAAAAAACCCAAATAAAACAAAAACAACAAGAAAACCTTTCAACAGGTAAATGGTAAATGGCCTGCATTTGTATAGCGCTTTTCTAGTCCCTAAGGACCCCAAAGCGCTTCACACTACATTCAGTCATTCACCCATTCACACACACATTCACACACTGGCGATGGCAAGCTACATTGTAGCCACAGCTGCCCTGGGGCGCACTGACAGAGGCAAGGCTGCCGGACACTGGCGCCACCGGGCCCTCTGACCACCACCAGTAGGCAAACATGGGGTTAGTATCTTGCCCAAGGATATTTGGCATGCAGCCAGGAGGCAGCCTGGGATCGAACCACCGACCTTCTGATTAGTGGCTGACCTGCTCTGCCACCTGAGCTACAGCCACCCAGGTAGGAGAACAAGTGTGTGTGTTTGAGTTAAGATTAACAGGCTAGATTGTTGTGTGCTTTTGTATAATACCAGCTACACATCGGGGGGAATAAATCACTCAGGAACAGCTTACAAAGAAAATGTTTTCCATTCTTACAGAGATACAGATGTCTCACTGTGGACCTGGACAGATTTGTCTTGGATAATAAATAAAATTTAACTTCAGCACTAATACACTTAACAGAGTAAAGAGCATTTTCTGCTTAAAGGAGCAGATATAAAAGTACCAGCAAGGCCAGTAAAACATGTTCACTTACATTATTACTGCACACTAATAGATGGGTGTGGATGTTTTCACATAGTTAATTATATTTAGCAGTTTTGTTAAATTAAACATTTAAGTTTTTAATTTTCTGAAACAAAGAAAAAATTGAACAGAAGCTTGGGTTTTCTTGATGCAATTTCCCTCTTGTTGACACCTTCAGTCAATGAAAGTAAATCATCTAGCTCACTTCATTTGCCTGGGTAAATAATGCTGCTTGGCATTCTTAAAGGCTGCTTTAGTGGGAACAAATCCCTTAAGCTCTACTGGAGCAAGTAGGCGGCACTCTTAAGTCGAACCCACCAGAGCAGGTCTGGGCACTGATGCATAAATAGTGCACAGCGTGCATCCTCCAATAGCTCACATCACAACAACTTTAAGGGAAAAAAAAAAAAGTCCAAATATAACAGATAAATATTGGAGTCATGCCCAGTGAGGCTTGCAAACACATAAAAACACTCATAGGGCAACCATTAGCCAGTTTTCACAAATTATACCACGTTTATTGATTCTGACCATACTGGTTATTTAATGGGGTGTTATGAAGATCGAGAAACTACAGCATGACTGACAGAAGGAGCTACCGAGGGTTCCCTCCCCTTGTGTCACAGATGAAAATCAGAGGTGCTTATTATTCACTTGGCCTCCCGTAATGTCCCCATTTACATGCAAGTAGAAACCAACAAATCCTCATTTGATTTCTTTTGACGTGTCCGTCTTTAGAGAGGTCAAGGAGGCTGGCTGCATAGCAAGAGTGATTGATCAGAGAAACTCCAAGGGGACGGTTTTGCAGGCAAAGCGATGCTTCCTTTGAAGTAACTTTAATGTGATCTGGTATTTGTCAAAAAGGGATTGCCCATATTTAAAATGCTATAAATAATTTTTTGGCCTATAATATGTCACATGTCATATGAATCCCTCATGAATTATATCAAGTCATCTTGAGTCACAAACAACATTCCTATCACAAGGTAGAAGCCCCAATCTGTTTTTGGCAAAGTGACTTCTATATAGCTTTTATTTATCCATTTAAAAAGTATTTTTAAGAGTAATCAGGCCAAGAGGATAGCAGAAATTGCAACAAATATAACAATAGGTCTCTAAAGATATTTTAGATGGCCAGAAAGAACTGCAATGGTTATGATGTACAATAACACAGAGTCATAAAGATACTTTTAAAATAACCCCTTGGTAAATACTGTTCACTAAAGTCTATTTACCAATATAATTTACCAATATAAGTAAAGACATTACATAGAAAAAAAAACAAAACAAAACATGGAAACAGTGGAAATCAGTTTTGGCAGACGGTCACTCTTTGACACAACATCGATAACCGTTTAAAGACAGTTATAGCCGAATAATTAAGTGAAATCATTTTAAAGGAGGGGAAAAAATTTGCAGCTTGTGAAAAGCCCCCACCCATTTTAATAAATGCTGTTATCATCGGCAACTGCATGACAGAGTTATATGAAATCATCGATAATTATAGTTCTGTTTCCCCTTGCTACTGTGAAATGAGTCACTCTGTGTAGTTTTGTTTTATTTTTAGTACTGTGACTACATTTTGAATACTTTTTACGTCAGATAACACCGACTTCGGGGCTGTACTCGAAAACTTACTCGGTTTTGTTGCGTGTTTTGTCCTCACTGAGCTGTGACAGATTAATGACCGCCTGTCCCAGCAGTTTGTCCGGGCCCACCAGAGCCCGGTGAAGGACGTGGACGTGCAGCGTGCTGCCTCCTCCTCCCTGGTTCAGCTGCGGGAGGTCGAAAGAGGCCTCCTCCTTCCACACCGGAGCCACGCATTTCTCCACCACTGAAGTCTGGTACTTCTCTTTGCCCACTTGTATGACCGCGTACGCATCGTTGGTGCCACTTTTCCCCTTTATCCTAAGGCTCCTGGCTTGGAGTACCGTTACCTGGACGCTTGTGGGACACCACTGCTGATCCGTCAAGGACATGCTGACACGGCTCAGAGTCGTTAAAAATGTAATCCTCCAAAACAAAACACAGTGGTGGCTACCATCGGCTCACCAAGAGACCGCACAGAAGCGAGGGAAAGTTTTTTTTTTCCTCCTCAGGCTCGCTGAACTTCAGGAACCAGCTGATTGGGCGTGGTTACACGGAGAAAGGGGCCTTGGTTGTATAAAGCACGCCCTCAGATTAACAGGTTACACGTTTTCTCCAACGAAACTCGCGACACAGCAATCAATTAGATGACAGAGAACACCTGATGCTTGTTTGTACCTGTCAGACTGCATCAGCGTCATCGCATACTGAATGAGCCCAAATAACACCAGGACTGAATGTAAAAGATTTTATTATTCCTCGATGTATTTACGGTGCATGCATTTAAATAATAATCTGGCTCTATATGTTTGTATTTTTAGACTAGCTCCAAATTGTGTCATAATTTAAAACTAAAAAATCCTCCTTCCATAGCAGCTATGCCACTGATGTCTAAAATCTGATACCTCTGCTCTAATGATTCTGTCACTTGGAGAGGGGATGGGATACCCGACAAGCCACATTTGGCTGGATTCAGTGTCACCTTCAGCTCTGCTGAATTGTAATTAAATTGAAGTGCCAGTGTCTTCATGGATTACATCAAACCTGCAGATCAAGGTTGTAAGTCTCTGAAAAACCACGAATGTGAGATGATATTTCTCAGGTCTGTTTTCCCCCAGTTTCAGAGCTGGTTCCTTGCAGGCTTTTTCCTCTATACATATGACCTTGAATACACTTGCATAGGCACGGTAAATTTATTTATTTATTTTTGTCACTGCTATCTAAACGAGTCCATAGAGCAATTTAGATGTTTGTTGATGAAGGTAAATGGATTGCCATGTCACAAATTGCTGCTCAAATACTGACTCCTGCTGTTTGAGGAAGGGAACAAACTTTAAAGAAAAATGTGGCTAATTTGCTTTGTAGAGGAAAGTCTGCTGTAAGAGTCAAGGACAAGTAAACTGAAGCTCTTCATTATTAAGGCTTAAACGGTGGAGCAGCCCTGAAAAAGTGTGATCTCGCTTTCCTTTTCATGGACAAAATTCAGCAAAGATCAAAGTCACATATAGACACTTGAGCCGATTAGTACATTAGCTAGCACTGCCAAAGTGTCTGGCTGTGATGTAACAGCTTTAGTAGTAAACACTTGTTGCAGTCAGAGGAAAATGTTTTAATCAGATACTACAACAACAAGCTCACATGCCCACAAAACGGTTGCAGAGATGTTCAGCTTTTGGCCTTAATGCAAACAGTTAAAAAAGAGAAGTTAATAAAGTACAACTTTAAATACATTTAGACTGACCTTGGATACAAAGCAATATAGATAGTTAGATGCATAAAATCATTTTCTTTGGTCTACAGCCTGGTAGAAATAACAGTGTAACTCATTGTTACAGCAAATATCTAATCATCTAGTCACAGGGCAACAATCCTATGCATTTAGTAATATGTACATGGTCTATGTACAAGATCTGCTGAAGTTTGAAATGAGTATCAGAATGAGGAAGGAAGACGATATAAGTGACTCTGATTGTGGCATGGAGAAGAGTGTCCCTGAGTGCACAGCAAAATTGTAAAACAGAAGATTGGAAAACATTGCCTGTTTGAGTCTCGGTTTCTGCTGATGGCACAGTCATAATTTGGTGTAAACAATATCAAAGCATGGATCCATATTGCGTTTTACCAGCAGTTCAGGCTGATGGTGATGGTGTAACAGTGTGGGGAATATTTTCTTGGCACATTTTGGACCAAAATGAAAGAGGGTCCAGCCCAGTACTAGAAAGTTGTACCCAACAAAGCAGCTATTGTACAAATTGCTGCCTGTGGTATTTTACATTCACCTTATGTAAAATGTTCTTTAAGAAGTAAAACTCTGCAGTGATAACATACATTCACTGTGTCCTCATTGTCTTGTGGTTGAATCTTTTTTTTTCTGGGTTTCCATCCTTTCACTTTGGTCTTCATGGTCACCTACAAGAACTTTGCTGTAAAGTTTCTGCAGCCCTTCTTTAAAAGCATTGTTCACTTTGGCTCGTTTCAGTCCACCATCCCTGAGAGAACATACATTGAGGGGTATTACTCATTGAATCGTCAGCGGTTACAAGTGCAAAGTCGGCATTTGTTAATTCTTCCGTAAAGCTTGAAGGAAGCAAGTAAAATTGGGCAACTATAACACTGCACAGTTTCTAAGTCCCAGTTGCACCACTGTTCACATTTCCCTTTTCCAACAATGAACACGTCATTGTTCGGAAATATAAATTATATATAAATATAAACGTGTCTCACCAGATGAGATCTACTAATCCGCCTCGGGCAGCTATGGCGGCTTTCACTCTATTGGCAAACTGTACTGCATCCTCTCCTTCCTGCATATGAACAATAAGAAAAATCGGGCTCTTAAAAAGATGAATTAAACATTATATGATTTAAATTGTTTAAATTAAGGCAGGGCTTTACCTCTCTGTTCATAGGTGGCAGGTACCAAACGCTGCATACGATGGCCCAGCTGCTCATCATACTGAGAAGATACCACACCAGGCCACACTTACTGCTGTTCCAGAAAGCATCACCGAAGCGAGGGTCATACTGCAAGATGACCATAAACGGCCCGTCAGCAGTGAGTAAGAGCAGTATGAGGAGATAGGAGGAAATGGACTGAAGCTCCTACCTTAATAGCAACGGGATAAATAGTACAGCCAATTTCAAAGCTGCCCTTTTTGAACATCATCACTGATGTGTTGTTAATACAAGTACCTGAAAATTACACAGTGTGAGGATCTTAACAATACTAACGAGGCTGTTTCGGCTGCTTTCTGCTTAGATTACACCCATTATGATACGCACCCTCAGGGAAGATGAGGATGGGCTGTTTGGTTTTATCAGCCACATGATCACTAAGCCTGAAATGAAAAACCAGAACAAACAGATTAAAATATTTGTATTGAAATCTAACCACTTTAAATCTAGTCTTACCTACTGCAATTATACAAATAGCCGAAACCAATGTATTACACTGACTGCTGAATACTTCACTTTTAATCACGTGAACCAAATTTAGTGAAACTCACAGTGGGAATCATGCAGTGGTAAATGCCTGACACACAGTATTTTGGCTGTGATATGATGCATACATGCATATGCAAATACACACACATAACTATATACACCCCCTTATTGCATCTACTGTACAAAGGTCTTGAGTCACCCCTCATTTATGCTTTATGCTTTGCTTCCAAGCTTCTAGACTTTCTTATAGTTTCTTCAAGTGCTCTTAAGCAATAGTTTTCCAGGCTTTCTGAAGATCTTCCGAAATTTGTCTTTTGCACATTGGCTGCCTTTTCACTCATTCTGAGTCCGGTTCTTGTCCCTGACTATTTTCACAATAATGTTTTTTTAAGCCACTTAATAATGCCCTGTGGATCATTTAAGCATAAAAAACACACCTATAACACAATAGACGAACCAATGTTGTGTCTACACGTAATGTAGATGTGAAGCATGTTGTTAAAAAGTTTGAGGAAAAGAGAAGAAATGGCAGACCTAAAAAGCTATCCAAAGCACATGAACAGTATCTGAAATTAATGTCCTTAAGATATAGGAAAAAAATCAGCAAAGATCTGACACAGAACACGTGAGATGCATCTGGGCCTTCAGCTGATCCAGCTACTGTTCACTGAAGCCTCATCAGAAATGGTCTCAGTGGAAGGACGGCTGTCAAGAAGCCAATCTTCAGAAAGGGAAACAGGGAGAAAAGGCTGAGGGATGCCAAAATACACAAGAACTGAAATGAAAATCAGTGGATACATGTCTTTTATGGAGTGATGAATTCAAGTTTGAAGCTTGTGGTTAAAATCTTTGCCACTGTGTACAAATAAGTTCAGAAGGGAGGGACAACAGTGAGCATCGACAGCCATCTGTAAGCAAGGTGGAGGCTCTTTCATGCTTTGTGGCTGCATTTAAGCCAGTGCTGTTGATGATTTTGTCAAAATCAACAAAATTATGAAAGTGGGAAAGTAGCTTCAGATTTAAATAAACCATGCAATACAATCTGGAAAGTATCTGACTAACTTCATTGTTTTGCATGACAATGATCCCAAACACACTGCCAATCCAGAATAGCACCTGATTAAAAACAAAAACACAATGCAATACTATCAGTGATGCACTGGCCTTCCCAGACCCCAACATTATTGAACCCATGTGAAGCAACAACATCATCCAAAGAAGAGCTTTGAATGTGCTTTAAGACGCCTAGAAAACTGTTTGTGACGACTGCTTAAATAAATGAAAACAAAGCTGACAGTTTTTTCTTATGTGCTGTATTGTCATGTATGTTTTCAATAAATCGCTGCACCTATTTCCCATTTTCCTTGAAAAATATTTTTAAAAATGACAGTGGATCAAGACTTTTGCACAGTATTGTATTTATCCAGCCATGCCTCCTATCCATTGCTAACCACATTAACATCCTAAGTGGTTACATCCCCCAAAAAAGGAATCCTCCTGATGAAACACAAGAACACAACTCCAGTGCAGTTCCCAAGCACATTTAGTCGGCGAGGGCACTGGGTGTGAAATCTAAGCTCAGTGAAATATGAGGACCAATCTGTTGTGGTGACCTCTTGAAGAACAGGGAGCAGCCAAAGACAGCACACTTATTTGCATACTGAAGCAGAAATTAAAACAGAAAAATGCATGAATGAATCTGCAAAGAAAAATACACTTTACATAAAGTCAGTCAATAAACGGGGTCTAAAATGATGGGAAATAGTAAAGATATAAATGTAAACATCAAAAAAGAACATCAAAAAATACCAAATAAATGAAATATGAAAACAAATCTGAACATAAATAGCAATATATGATATATTTAGTGAATTAATGAATTCTCCTATTTGTCTTCAAAGTAAATTTTAATATTAACTTAATATTATTAGCAATGACTCATTGAATAAATGAGTGATTGCTTTCTTTCTTTATATGTTCTGTTGGCAGTTTTGATCCTTCCTATCCCGGGTCACCCACACTGATTTACTTTTTGTCTCTCATGAGGAAAGGGGATTTATATATAAAGACGATGCAATTTTACCTCTTGGCCACTAGGTGTCTGTCTTTGACTTCTGATCTGTCAAACCAGATGTGCG